GCGAAAACAAGGTCAAACAACTTGTATACAAAGAAAGGAGACTACGACCACACAAAAGGCCACACCATCTTGGTCTTCATACCTTCGATTTAAATTCATATGATTCTGCAGTGACACTGTCACAATGCAAACCTGTGAAAAATAGCACCCACCTACGTCGTTTGCAGCCACCCAGGCCATGAGTAGAATGCCCCAAAGGTAAGGTCGACAGCTCCCTTTGATCTTCATAACTAGAATATGTGATTCGATCAAAATCGCATGAAGATCCAGCCACGTCCACCGACTTCCTTTCGTGTCAACATTTTGACTGCCCACCAGGCTCGTTTTGTGCAGAGAAGAGGCGAGGAAATCGGGAAGCTGTGCTGTCTGTGGAGCGTTGAGGTTTGATCCTGTCCCAAGCCAGATGCCTCGATCGAGAGGAGCCTGTAGTGCACCAGCTGGGCTCTCGAAGGCGTCATCAGAAAGTCTGCTCATGCAAGTGTTGGAGGCATTTGGAGTCGGTCAGCATCAGGCAGAAGAAGATGCGAATCGGCGATAAAGAGTTTGGGAGTCAAACACAACAAGTGAGAGTAGAGGTGATCACCACTTCGCTGGAGATGAGATGAGCCAGGGGAGATGATCAACTGGGTCGGGCAGAGGCACTTCGGAGAGACGTTGTAAGTGGTTCCGGTGTGTATGCAAGATCAGTTGGGGGTCTCACCTCAGAGCCGGTCTATTGAATCTGGGGACATAGACTCCGTGCCATCTAGGCGCTACTGGTTACGCGTAGTCGAGGCGACTAGGGGCCCGCAGGAGACTGGGACGGTGACAACTGGAGCGAAAAGTGTTCCGGTTGGCGAGTGAGTGGACGAGAAACGAAGAGAGGATCGATGTGGGCAAAGAATGAGGCAAGAAAGGGAATAAGTGAGGATACGGGTTGGGAGGACTGATGGGAGGGGAGCAAGCCCTGAAAAGGGTAACAATTCAAGTGTGGTAGCCAACGTTCAAGGGGGAATAAGGGAGGATACAAACAAGCACAAAGATTGACAAAGCGACCAAAAGAATGACCATGACGACGACACGTAGACAGGCCGACGACACCCGGCCGGTACAGAGGGCAGCATCAAGAGGCTAGGCAATCAGACAGACAAATGGGGATTCAGGGAAGGGCAAACTGGTTGTGTGTCTTCTGCCCATGAGAGAGAGATACAAACTGAGATGATCGAGAATGGACCGACAAGAATGCGCCAGTGCCCTTGCCTAAAAGGTAGTAGCCGATTCGGTAGGCTGGTCTAGACAGCATGTTGTCTGGAGCTTAGCGTTTTTATGTCTGCTAGCTATGGACTGTCCACGTTCGGCCGTTGCGATGTACTTTGGGTAGAAGTGTGAGGGCGTTTGCTTGTCCCTTCAACTACAGAGGACATTGTCTTGAGAGTCCAAATTCTCGTTTCACAAGAATCAAGTTGCTTCTGCAGCCAGAGGAAACTTTTATTCAAAGATCTCTCACAAGCCTTCTTCTCGAAGCAAAATTAGGCTCAGTATAGGCGAAAAAAAACGTATAGAGCTTCGAAAGCCACACAATTATGGTTTTCTCATCAACTCTTTCCAGGGCGTGTATGTTGCTCTGGAGCCAAGAGCCAGTCACCTGTAGTTGACCCGGGGCAGGAAATCCAAGATGAAATGACCTTTATTTTGGTCGAAGTTATTGAATCTATTCCCAATTCATCTTGATTCCGAAACCCTGGAGACCTTGATCGAAGGATTAAATTTTTATTTCATTAAACGAGGAAACCTTTTATTAAATCCTCTTATGGGGAAATATATAGAAAAGACTAGAGGGGAGATAGAGATGGAAATACTCCCTAGAAGCTTGCCACATGAAGATCCCATTAACAATAGTGAATTAACGAGGATATGCGAGACGCTACAAAGGAAATACCAAATATTTCCTCCGGCGACAGAAAACAATACACGGAGACAAAAGCACATATTTAATACTAAGGAAGAACCCGACAATGAAGATCAACGGAACACGGAAAGGTAGATAGATAGATGATGGATGGATCAACTCATTAATAGGAAGGGCATCAAGCTTACTGGCAGCCTATAGCTTAACAAAAGAAAACAAATAAGAAGAATCGTTGAGGTTGATAATCAACAAAAAGCATGGAATATCACATACACTAGCGAAATTCATATCCTTGAATATGAAGGAGGTAGATGATAAATTAGTAAACACCGTAAAGAATTCATACAAATTTTCATAAGAGATCGAAAGCACAAGACCAGAAGAAGCAAAACTGTCAATAAGAATAAATATACAATCCATCTATACAAGCACTCGAGGTCCTGGTGGAAATCTTGGAATGGCAAGGAGGTATCCTAGAAGCAAAGCTGATTCGGAAGGAGCCATTAACTTGATAATAGGGACAATCTACTTCACATCCAATGACGGTAGCTATTAACACATATTTGGGATATAAACCCCATCTAGCATAGCAAACGTGTAAATGTTGAGCTTATTTCCATTTCGAGTGATAGTGGTTGGTTAAGAGATTCGATGGTCGATTCCACCAAAAGACGACGGCGGATTTACTTGACCAGCCTTCAATTGGCTTTATGGGAAAACTAATGGTGACGCTGTTTCCGAGGTAATCTCCTTCGATTCGGTGAAAACGTGCTAAGATTTCCTCCATCCATGAGTAGTCCACACTTCACATTTAATGATAAGGCTTATGAACAGGTGCAAGGCCTAGAAATGAGATCCTGCTTGGCTCCTAGTTTAGCTAATAATTAGATGTCAAGGATGGAAGAACACTTCATAGAAGTGTTAAGTTTGACACCAGAATTGTTAGTTTGATATACGGATGACTTATTTGACGTATG